TGCCAGCTGCCTCCCGCCGCCTCGCAGCCTCGCCGGGCGCAGGCGGATCGGGAGCGCCCCGCGCCGAGCCGGCTCCGGGGCCGAGGGGGGGGCCGGCCGAGGGGCCCCGGGCCGGAGGGGGCGCGGGGAAGTCGGGCCGAGCGCCGGGTGGCTCCCAGTGGAAAGTTGCCGGGAGAGGCTCTGGGCGAGCGGGGAGCATGGGCACGTTGCGGGATTTACAGTACGCGCTGCAGGAGAAGATCGAGGAGCTGCGGCAGCGGGATGCGCTGATCGACGAGCTGGAGCTGGAGCTGGACCAGAAGGACGAGCTGATCCAGAAGCTGCAGAACGAGCTGGACAAGTACCGCTCGGTGATCCGGCCCGCCACGCGGCAGGCGCAGCAGCAGAGCGCCCGCAGTCTGCAGGGCGAGCAGCGGACCAAGCGGCAGGCGATCTCGGCCGAGCCCACCGCCTTCGACATCCAGGACCTCAGCCATGTCACGCTCCCCTTCTACCCCAAGAGCCCGCAGTAAGCAGCGCCCGCCCGCCCGCCCGCCCGCGGCGGAGGGAAAGTTGCGAGCGGAGGGCTCGGCGAGCGGCGGGGCTGCGGGAGGGGCCGGGCGGCGCGCTGTGCCGGGGCGGCTGCCGTCCTCCGGGCTTTTTCCACCGTTACCGCAGCTCTCTATTCGCGCCTGGCTCCGGGACGCGGCCACGTGTGGCACCTGGCGGGCGCTGCCTCCCGCCGCGGAGCGGCATCGGACCCCTTCCTATCAAAGATACCAAAGCCGCGCCGCTGCCGCTGTCCGGCCGCTCCCCATCGCCCTCCGCGGGGCCGCTCGCTGCCCCGGCACGGCGGGACTCCGCCGCCTCACCCTGCCCGCCCTGCTGTGCCCCGCCGTCTCCTGGCAACCGCCCCGCTAGGGATGGCTGGCTGGATGGAGGGGAGGGCAGCCGTGGCTCAGCCCCGCCGCCGCCCCGGGACCCTCTTCCCTACTCCCCCTTCCCGCTGCCGTTTCTCCGCAGATATTTTGCCCTTTTAAGGCGAACGGCTGCGGCTCAATCCGGCGGCGGGGAGGAACTGTGGTGGACCCACAAAATGCCCCCAGACTCCCCAGGAAGCTGTGTGGGGGGTGGGCCGGCTGCTGAGCCCCCCCCGGTTCCGGGCAGCTGAAGCAGGGCGAGGGCGGCGGGGTGCTGCTCCGTGCCGCCTGCACACCTGTGTGCCTTCGGGACACGTACACGATAGGGCTGCTGTGAGGGACACGCTGTGCCTCAGCCACAGCGCACACCAGCCTCGCACCCACACAGATAGCTTTTTTCCGTCAAAGGCTGTGTGTTTGCCCCTTGGTAACCCCACGAAACGGCGGTGGGTGGCAGCAGGATGAGGCCTTGTTCTGGAGTGGCCCGGTGTGGAACGACCCCAGCCGCTGCCCTGCAGCTCAGGGTCAGCTGGTGTGCTTCTCCTGCTTTTAAGTCTTGAACCAAAGGTTTGGGTTTTAAATGAGCCTCCTAGAGCTTCAGCTTTAAGCAGAGCAGATCTTGAGTCCCTGCTGCGTACAGCAAAACATGTAGGAAGCCTATCAGGGCCTGAATTAACATTTTCCAGCTTGAATGTCAGTTAAAGTCTCTGTAAATGCCTTCTCGTACCTTCACTCGGGGTGCAGTGCACTGCCTGCCCGAAGCAGTGCTTAGTATTGAACTCCCATGGTCAGTGTTAAACTTTTTGTCCCCTTGTGCCATTTACAGTGCTCTGAGCTAAGTTGCTGCTGCACATTTTGTCACTGAGGTGGGGAAGATGGCTTGCCCATAGTCCCAGGGGTGTGCATTACTCTAGGAAGTATTCACTGTTCTGCTGGGACAGCCTTGATTTGATGAGCAGGAGCTCTCAGTGCCTCACACCTGGCCTGCAAGGCAGTGCTAGATCTGTGGCTAGGCGGTTGTTTCAGTCACTTACTGAGTCCATGGGGTACGGCACTGCTGAGCATTTTCAATATAAGCATCTGAATGGAAAGGAAGATATCCCTATATAAAAGAGAAGAGTAAGCTGTGTGTTCCACTTACCGGGAGTGCTTATCATTAAAATCCAGACAAGCTGCTGTTAGTGGTGTCTGCACCTGGGAGACTGAGGAATTGCACCTGGTTTAATTTATTGGGATCATTAATACCTAAGTAATGGTTTTTCTCACACCTCTACAAACGTGGCTTGCACAGCATTTGAAAGCAAGTCTTCCTCTTGGATAGATTGTGCCTAGCAATCTTTAGGATGTATTGTTTAATGCTATCGTGGTGGTACTGAAGGTTGAGGTAGAGAATATCTGGAAACAGCAGGAAAAAAAGGACTAAAATGTGAAAAGTAGGGCTGACTTTTTCGTCCAGTGGATGCTGAATTCTAACAGCTCCTGAGGTGATGGGATCCAGCCTCTGATATCTGCCCATTTTCCAGCATTGTACAAGGTGGAATGCCGAGGAGACAGAGGAAGCATTCATTTTTAGTCACCATTGCAGAGTTGGGCTTATTTTGGCTCTGATTGGTTTTTTATCTAGCTAATGTAAAATACGGGTTCACATGAAGAGTTCATGACTAAAATATGCAGGACACATTCTGCTGATTTCCTGTGAGTTATGAGACCAGTGAGGCACATTGGACATTTCATAGAATTCTTAAGGTTGGAAAAGAGCTCTGAGATCATCTAATCCAAGCATCAGAAGTGGCACGTTTATCAGTCTTTGTATGCAGGTAACTAGAAAAGAAGTTGTCCAAAGTAGCTTTTCTTTTTTTTCCCCCACCCCAGAGGTTGCCAGAAGTGGCTGCAGTAAGTGGGAAAAGACTGTGGAGAAGTCTGGGTGGTTTTCCCTGCTTGAAAAATGCAGTGACAAATCTTTATCTCCCCTCCATCTCCTCAGATTGCTGCTCTGTTTGTTTTTCCACACCTCTGACCCCTCACGGGATATATTCTGCCTGCTAACAGCCTGCCAGCACTGAAGTGATACCTTGAGACAAAGTTTGTACCAACAGTTATTTTAATTAAGATTTTACAAAGCTGCGGGCCAGAGAATAACCTGAATTAGGTTCTGAGAG